AAAGTCAAGGCGTCGTCTGGCCGAGGTAGGACCATCTATCCGTTCCTGAGGGCCGAGCCTATCGAACACTTTCTAGCATTGGCCTACGCCAAGTTCCTTCGGGGGTGTCGTTGTAAACTTGGATGGTTGTCGTGGTGTTGATCTCTCCTTGGGTTTGGTTAATACGACGCGTGCCTTACAATTGCTGCACAAAACCATCAGCCAGTCAATTTCTTCTGCACCAGAATCTAACATAGATTCGACTACAGCCAGTCCCGAAAACTCGGTGGGCGATTCATTGGAAAATAGGTCAATCTTGAATCGTGGTTGGGAGTTTTTCTTTGGACGTGTTGTACTGGGACAAACTCGGCCTTCCCTTTCCCTTTGCACTTGGGCAAATGGGCATTTACCATGCTAACTGTTGCCGAATGGAATGGATCAGCGTCAACCGTCATTCATTTTTCGAGAAACTTTAGCTTGCCCTTGTCATTCCAGCTTTGAATATCATCACGGAATACGACACAGTTGTTCGTGGTATGCTTAGTTGAGTTATGGTACTTGCAATACGTTTTCCCTTTAAGCTCTTCGGCCTTGGGAATGTTATGTCTTGGCCGAAGTTTGATAATCTTTGCTAACAACAATTGGTCAAAAATTGCCTCGGCCTTTGTGATATCAAAAGTGTAAACTTTCGATGTTTTCGCCGTCTCTTCAGCGGTCGAGCGGGTTTTGGCATCTTTGGAATTAATTTGAGTCAATGCCTTGCACACATATGGTTTATGGTTTATCTATTACTATCTCGGCCGCGTCCACACTAATGTATTGGGAATCTTCGCCTTCGGCAGATACGTAGCTGACCGTGGGATTTTTGTAAATCATTCCTCGGGATGGGGATTTCAAGATCTTTTTTTCTTGGAGCAAATAATCATATTGCTCGACATGTTGGGCTAATTCATACATATCCCGGAAGTTTTCCCCCAAGAATTTCTTTTTGTACTCCACGTCGAGCCCATTCAGAGCAAGCCTAACAAACTTGACTTCGGGAAGAGGTACTCGACACCAATTCTTGGCCGATTTAAACCTTGTAAGATAGTCCGTTGGTGACTCATCAGATGCTTGAGCCATCCTAGCCAATGAAGAAACTGACATTTCCATCCCCTTGCCAATAGAACTGTGTGTGAAACTTCTCGACCAATTTCTCCCAGCTTTGGTTAGAATTAAGTGGGAGGTTGATATACTATGCGAATGTTGAGCTTGTCAACGAAAAGTTAAACAACCGTAGTTTATGGAAATCACTATTGACATCTCCGCATTGGGCAATGAAACAGGGCACATGTTCTAACGAGGATAAGGACGATTCTCCAGCAAAAAGGCTAAAATCTGGAATCTGGAAACCTTTAGGATATTCGAACTTTTCCACATAAGCTGGATATGGATAGATGAATTTCAGGAACTTCGGCCCCTTTTTCATGGCCGAATCGATCATCTGTTGGACTTCAATCATATCGACAGATGTTGCTTCCATTCTCTAGTCCGATCCATCTGACCTACTACTTGATCTTCCATTTTTTTCTAAGTCAATCGTTTTGGGCCGAGTAGACACTACTTCGGCCTGTAGCAGATTACTTTTAAGTGGAAGCTTCCGGGCCTGATCAGCAGGTCCTCATTCGAAGACTTCGCTAACTAATAATTCGAGCAATTTGGTGTGGGTCTCACCATTACTTCGTATTACCTCAAGTAAATTGTTCATTTTTTGAACAACTGTCTGTTCAACTTGTCGAGATTCCTCATCAAGTCACCTTCGAAGAAACGACCTAGTTGGAGGGTCAGAGCCTTCATCACCTTCTTCGCCGCAGTCTTCCATTATTCCTTCAATGAAAACGTCTGCGGTTCGATTAGGTACCTCTGTGTTTCGAGGCTGGGTACCGAGACAAACTTCCTTTTCTCAGTGTGTCACACTTGCAGCCTCAGGGGTCAAAGCAACGAGAGGATTTCGCACATGTGACACTTCTTGTCCAGAACTCTGAACTGGCAGATCGGCCGTTGATTTTCTTATGGTTGTTTTCTTTTTGACCGATCATGTCTTGATGGTCATGAACTTCGTAGTTTTAGCACTGGGTCCCACCGGGTGTGCCAAAATGTTAACCCTAAAAACTACCAAGCCTACGTGGCGTGTAGGCCAAGTAATTAATAAGCTAACTACGTCATTCGGTTGTGTGCGGGGCGTGCCAACTCAACGGTCGAGCTCTGCCGGTGAGTAAAATTTGTGATGTTGCGTTGGGTGCACTGTTGACTTCTGAATCTCGCAACTGCGGCCGAGGAAAGAACACGTATCGGCCTTCGGGCTCTAGAGCCTGAAGATAAGGCTGCTAATTTTGCAAAGTTCACAAATCGTCGGTGCTGGATTCAGTCACAGTGATTATATTTGTAAGGGTATAAGCACGCCGAATCGACACCAAAGTATAGGGGCACAGATACTCAAAACATATATATGTCTTGATGATAAATGTGGTTCAGCCGTCAGAATGTTGAACTCTAAAGCTTACTTGTGAGTATCTAATCATAAAACAACTTAGCATTCAATGTGCCGAGCCCTAGTAAATTGTAACACCTCACCTCGTCGAAAAGGCTAATGAGATAACCTCTACCAATAAAGACTCGAAAGTCTTTCTCGATCGAGACTCAGATAGATAACCAGTCGGCCTCGACGCAGTGCTGTTTATCCAAATTGAAGGTGTTCCGCGGTCGGTTGGTTCTACGGCGATAATGCTGTTTATCCAAACTGAAGGTATCACCAGTTGCCTTCACAATGCTGTTTATCCAAACTGAAGATGTGTCGGCAGAAAAGGAAAATAAAAATCTCAAGGTTGTTGAAATGTTTCGCAAAAACGAGGGTTTGCGCAGGGCAGTTTGTGTGTTGAATTGGAGGGGGCTTAAGGATGTCCTCCTCCCTCTATTTATAGCAGTCAACCTGCTTCCAATCGAATCACAACCATACTCGGATTAAAACTCCTTCCCCCGATCCAACCTTATCTTTGCCAGTCCTCCTACTAGGACTTTGAACTCAACCCCCTTATCAGGCCGCATTCAATCCCAAACTTCAACATCCTTATCTCGTCAAAACTCCTTCTCGTATCAGGATTCAACTACCCATGGATTCCTAATAGGACACGGCCAGCCTTGGCTATGTGGCCCATAAACCAGATGACCCCTAGCGACTCCTAAGTACGGTCTCTGGGCCGAAAACAACTCTAAACTCGGCCCAAACCAATATTTTGGGCCCAAACAGTTTTATAAAGGCTTCATAAAGGACTTGAACTCATATGTGGCGGTTAAGAGGATATCTAAGTGGTCTAGACAAGGGCCGAAGGAGTACGCATCAGAAGAAACGGTCATAAGTCGACTTAAGCATGGGAACCTAGTGCAACTCATTGGTTGGTGCCACGAATAGAGAGCTTCTACTTGTTTACGATTTCATGCCAAACGGCAGTTTAGATTTCCATCTTTTCAGGGCCAAAGCCTTGTTGGTTTGGGAGGTAAGATACAAAATTGTGCAAGGTTTAGCGTGTGGTTTGTTCTATCTACACCAAGGATGGGAACAATGTGTGCTTCATAGGAATATCAAATCCAGCAATGTTATGTTGGATGCTAATTTCACAGCAAAACTTGGAGACTTTGGTCTAGCTCGACTTGTGAACCACGGAAAGCAATCGAAAACAACTACTGTAGTTGGAACTATGGGCTACATGGCTCCAGAATATGTAACCACAGGCAAGGCTAGCAAGGAATTTAATGTTTACAGCTTTGGAGGTAGCTTGCGGGAGACAACCCATCGATTTTTCTAAGTTCGAAAGTACTGAAACCAGCATGGTGGAGTGGGTGTGGGAGCTTTATGGAGAAGGGAAAGTCCTTGAAGCAGCTGATCCGAAACTATGCAGAGGTTTTGATGCGAAGCAAATGGAGTGCTTGATGATTGTTGGGTTGTGGTGTGCTCACCCAAATTACAAATGAGGCCATCGATACTGCAAGCCATTCAAGTGCTTAACGTTGAAGTTCCATTGCCCATTCTCCCACTGATAATGCCAATGCCAATGGCACCATATTTTGCGCCTTAGTTGAATGTCTCTCATGTTGTCCTGTGATAGTACTGCTGGTTTGGTTTATCTATTTTGCTCCTCAATTTAAGGTCTCTCAATATTGCAAAAATTCGAGCTCCGGGCCTTAATTCTGAAAAGCAATTGAATGGTGGTTCATATTAGCTTCAAAACTGGCGTTATAATTTGTCTAATTTAGGTAATCTCATGATTGCAATTCATTGTATATTTACTACCACATGCCAAAGCCAAAACTACGATGCTATTTGGGTTTCCGTCCAAATATTCAGATTATATGAGGGTTATATTTTATCAAGTTTGGTCATTGAAATTTGACCTTTCAACAAAAAACATCCTGGAAATAGAAAACCTGTCCATTTGGTCCCTGAAATGGGTATTGCAAACCAATTGGTCCTTCTGTTAACTTGCCATCAATTTGGTTCCTGTGGTTTCCCATTCAATATTCCTGAGAAGATTGCAGAAATGACAATTTTACAAATTTCAATAGCTAAAATGATTAAAATGAAATAATGATGACATATTAATCAAATATTGACAACACTATTGAAGTACTGAATAAATGTAGACGATATACAGACAAAATCTGGAAAAATGATCTCTTAGCAATTAGAAAATGTAGTTTCATCTTTTCAGGGTAACGGGCTGAAAGAAAAAACTCAAGAAAATCGAAAGTCCCTTTTTAAGAAGTTTCCAAGATCAAAAGTCCCCTTTTAAGAAGTTTCTAAGATGTAGTTTCATCCCTTCCGGGTAACGGGCTGAACGCGTTGAAACTTGCAACTAGCACGACATGACAAAGTTGATGACCCCAAGTGCTGGTTTCGGAACACTTTCACTCACTACAGTCGGTCAACCAGGTCTTCAAGTCCTTTCCCATCAAACTTCTGTATATATTTCCAACTGGAAAATTCAATCTGCAATCATCTGCAATCATCTGCTTCTCTATCAGACGACAGTTTCTCCAGCCCGCTCGCTTGTCTCGTGGTGAATTGGTGACAAGCATCTCTCGTCTCATCAGCGCCAGTGTTTTTCTTTCCCACCAAAACAAAAAATGGCTGCCCATGATTTGGCTATCATCGCACTCCTCTCACCGAAGCTTGATCATCACTTCCTTGTTATTCTCCTGCTGCTGTTAATCCCTTGTGCAGCTCCGTTTTCTTTTGAATTTCCCACTTTCCGACGAAGTGATCACACCAACAGTACGGAAGAGTTGAAAAAATTAGTTACCGAGGGAGATGCTGTTATCGGCAACCAATCCATTTGCCTCACTGAAGGCAGCCTGGGTGTGGAAACAAATAAAGCTAATGGAAGTGTTGGCCGTGCTACCTACAGCGAACCCTTCCTGCTCCGGGACAATAATACAGGAAAACTTGCTGATTTCAGCACAAGTTTCACGTTCATGATTGATACGAAAAACAGTACCACCCCCTCCTATGTCGAGGGGCTGGCCTTCTTCTTAGCGCCAAATGGATCCTTACTCAACCGAGCACTTGGAGTAGGTAGCAGTATGGGCCTTGCTGTCAACAGCTCCGTGGAAAATGTTACTGAGCCAAGAAATGAGTACCCGTTTGTGGCAGTGGAGTTTCATATGCACAGGCCAACTGTGGAGGATCCAGACGGCGGTCGTGTGGGGATTGACATCAACTCTGTCAAGTCTAATATTACCAGGCCCTGGAATAGTGGAATTCTGGAAGGAAAACTTAGTCGTGCTTGGATTCGTTATAATTCAAGCTCGAAAAATCTTAGTGTTTCCTTCACCACTTATGCCAATGATACCCACGAGCAAGTAGTTGGTTCTCTCATTTACATGGTTGATCTGAATAAATACTTGCCGGATTGGGTCATCGTTGGCTTTTCTGCTTCAACAGGTGCTTCTTCTGCTCTGCACATCACCTCGTGGAATTTCACTTCTACTCTGATTGATGATGAATCTCTAGCTCTTTCGGGCGAACAAAAAAAGCAAGAATCTCCAGTTCCGACCCCAGGCCGTAGTTCTAAAGCCAAGTCAAGAAAACGCAAGAAATCTCTGGCGGTGATTATCGGTAGTACTACTGGTGGTGGTGGATTCATCTTGATTTGTGTCGTAGGTTTGGGTGTGTTCAACTCGTGCAAGAAAAGAATAGTGAGAGAAAGGACTGATACAAAGCTTATGAGTCCTCATGACTCAGTTGACCAGTTACAGAAGGTGATTGGCGGCCCCAGGCAGTTTTCGTACAGCGAATTGGCTTCCGCGACAGGACATTTTAGTGAGAGAGAAAAGCTTGGAGACGGAAACTTTGGGGTGGTTTACAAGGGCTACCTAAAAGACTTGGACTCCTACGCTGCTGTTGAGAAGATATCATTAGGACCTGAAACGGGGATCAAGGAAGTTGTATCAGAAGTGAGGATCATCAGTCGACTTAGGCATCGGAATCTGATGCAACTCATCGGTTGGTGCCACAAAGAAAGACAACTCCTACTGGCTTTCGAGTTCATGCCCAAAGGTAGGTTAGATGCTCATTTGTTCGAAGAAGAAAGCTCGTTAGTTTGGGAGGTACGATACAAAATTGCTCAAGGCTTAGCCTCCGGGTTGCTCTATCTACAACAAGAATTGGAACATTTTGTGCTGCATACGGATGTCAAATCCAGGAACGTTATGTTGGATTCAAATTTCAACCCTAAACTAGGGGGGTTTGGGTTAGCAAAGCTTCTGGACCACGAAGAAGGAATAGACAATCTTATTGCCGGAACCTATGGCTACATGGCTCCTGAATTCTTTACAGACGGTAAATATTCCAAGAAAACAGATGTCTACAGCTTCGGAGTTGTTGCTTTGGAAATAGCCTGCGGGAGAAAACCCATTGATCACCAGGCAGAAAGGAGTAAAATCGATATGGTGGAATGGGTTTGGGAGCTTTATGAAGAAGGGAAAGTCACAGAAGCAGCTGACCCAAAATTGTGTGGGATTTTTGATGAGCAGCAGATGGAGTGCTTGATGATTGTCGGATTGTGGTGTGCTCATCCGTGTGACAGTTCAAGACCTTCAATTCAAGAAGCAATTCGAGTGCTTAACTTTGAACTTCCATTGCCAGATCTCCCACCAAAGAAGCCAATTTTTCCATCATCTCCTTCATTGTCACCTCCTCCTTCAATGTCACTCTCGAGGTTGACTAGCACTAATGCTTCTGAATCTCGCCTGTACACAATCTTTCTCGCAGTCAGCTTTGTATTGAGGCTGCGCACCGCCATGATGAATAGAAAAAAGAGAGGAGATGAAGCGAGAGAGAATGCAGGATGGATTAGGGAGTCGGGTTTCTGATTCTTCATTTTTCCGATGTTTTCGGCTATCTTTTTACTAGCGTTTCAATTGCTACGCTAGGAATTCTCCGATTATATATGAGTGTAAGTTATTAGTGAAAATTTGATTTGATCAAACAAGTTTGAGCTTGGGGCTCCCTAGAGTACTAATCCCATGATCATTTTGTAAGCAAATTTACAAGTACTGTGTTTTCAGACAACTGCATTTATAGACAACAACAGCATCAAGTAGCAGTGTAGCTTTCTAACATGCACCGGTGTTTGAACGGCTTGATTGAGACCGTCAAAATCTAGACACGCAAATTCAGCCGTCCAATGTACCCATATACAGGTACATTGTAGATTTTTCGAGCAGTTATTTCACAAAAACACACAAGAATAATCCACACAAACTTGCACAATATCTTTTGCAGATAACAATACAGAAGAACCGAAATCAGAAAACCAAAAACCTGCACTCAGGATTCAAGAGGACTAATCTGATGAGCGAGTTCTCCTCTTTGTTTCTTGCGCAAGACGAACACATCGGCCTCTTCGTACGCATAATCTGGGTGCAAATCCTCATGAGGAACTTTCTCGATCGAAAAAACTCTCTCACACATTTCCCAGAACAGTTGGTGTGCTTCCGGGGACCTCACTTGGTACCCAAGCAAAACAACCCCGTCGTCCTTAACAAGCGCCTCCATGGTGGACACGAGCGGGCCCACAGTCTCCTCGATGTAGACAACGTCGGTCGCCACCACGACGTCGTACGGCGGACTCAGGGACTTGGCCTGATCGGCCGCCTTGTTCCAGTGCACGATGGCGTGCTTGATCGTTTTCCCCAGGACCGGCTTGTTGCGCTTGAGATTGTGCTTCAGTGCGGGCATGACCGCGGGAATATCGGTGAGGACGAGGTCGGTCAGGCCGAGGAGGTACAGGCCCATGCCGGCAGCCCCGCATCCGGCGCCGAGCTCGACGGCGCGCTTGCCGTGGAAGTCGAGGAGGGCGGAGTAGGGGTTGTTGGGGTTGGGTGGGGCCCAGCGCTCGGCGAACTTGACGAGGACTAAGGAGCAGGGCCAGACGGAGGTGCCGACGTGGAAGGAGCCGTTGTCTTGTTGGAGGGAAATGAGAGCGTCGCGGACCGGCAGCTCTATCACTGGTGAGTCGGTGAACTTCATGCCTCTTTTTTTTCGTTTTTTTTTTTTTTACTCCCTACTCCCTCCTAAACCGAGGCTTTTTCTTTGTTTTGTGTTTTTGTTTGTTGCCTTTTGTTTTTTTAAATAGGATAGGATATTTGGATTCGACCGAAGGATGTCGAGTGTAAAGTAAAAATTCTCACAAATAAAGCTACAAACCACTTACCACAAAATAATTTTTTTGATTATTTATTGAAAAATCTTATTTGAACTCATATAAAGAGGTTGCATGAGTATAAAAAAAATTTCGAGTCAAATAAAATTTTCCTTCTATATTATATATTGTGGACAACTTTGCACTTATAAACATCGAACGGGGTTACTATCATATCAATATTTAACACGTTTAATAATTGTGCCATGTTTAGGTTTGGAAAAATCGTCCAACTAATAATTGTGTTGTACTTAAGTTAGCCCTAATCATGCTCGTGTGGACACTTACTCAACATGCACACACGAATTGCCACCGCTAGATCCTCCACATATAAATGTGAGGTCTTTTGATAGTGTGTTAAGTAATTTAAAATGAAGGAAAAATACGGTTTGTTAGATAAAATTAAAACGAAAAGGCGAATAATTAATTGGCTAAACAATTAATGATTAAAACCTTTTTAACATGGATAATTCTTGAAAGAGAACTTCAAAATTAAAACGAGAACTGAACGTTTTCGATCATCAAATTACGCACTTTTCGGTAAGGACATTCTTACCATAGAAACATTTCTAAATGGGGTATTATCATATTTGATTAAATTACACCAATTCACTTACCAAAGTGATGGAACTGAAAAGAAGTTATTGAACAAGATATACAATGTACTACGAAGAACTAATGCTGTAAGTGTTGGCTGAAGACTCAGTATGACCTTCAGAGCCAGCACTACTATCACCAGGTACAACATTGAGAATAATACTGGAGAAGGTAAAATATATGGCCACCGGCATCTCTGATGGGAGAATGGGCAAAGGAACTTCGAAGTTAAGCACTTGAATCGCTTGTTGTATTGAAGGTCTAAAATTATAATCAGGATGCGCACACCATAACCCAACAATCATCAGGCACTCTATTTGTTTCTCATCGAAATCTCCACACAATGTCGGGTCAGCTGCTTCAATGACTTTCCCTTCTCTAAAAAGCTCCCAACCATTTCAATTATTCTGCTTTCTAAACTTGGATCGATGGGTTTTCTCCCGCGAACTATTTCCCAAGCAACAACTCCGAACATGTAGACGTCCGATTGCCTGCTAGCCTTTTCTGTCATAACATACTCCGCAGCCATGTAGCCCCCTGGTTCCAGCCACAATTGTTGTTTGTGGCTCTTTTTCGTGATCCGCAAGTCAAGCTAATCCAGAACCCCCAAGTTTCGCATAACATTGCTAGATTTGATATCCCTGTGTAGGACACATTTATCCCACACTTGATGTAAATAGCGCAACCCGCAGGCCAAGCCTTTGAGCAATTTAGTATCTTGCCTCCCAGCTGGTTAACAACTTTCAGCTTTGGATAGATGAGAATCTTAGATGCCGTTGGGCATGAACTAGTAAACAAGTAGGAGCTCTCTATTTTGGTGGCACCAACCAATGAGCTGCGCTAGATTTTGGTGCCTATGTCAGTCTGATGACCCTTGCTTCTGATGTATACGCCTTTAGACCTTGTTTAGATCCCTCTGATGCCCTTTTAACAGCGACACGTGACTCCATGTCTTCCATAAATCCTCGATAAACCCCACCAAATCCTCCCTCACCAAGCCTTTCCACCTCATCAAATTAAGTTACTTGTCGTGCAAGCCAACTCTTTGCAAGAAAACTTCTTGGGGCCAGTCCCTTTGTCTAATTCCTTGTCAACCAAGTCATGAATTGTAGGATGTTCATCACTACGTTCTCCCGTTGCCCTTTTCTTCCATAAGATGAACCAAACGAAAACTATCCTTGAAGCCAAGATAATACCAGTACACACCCCAACCGCTAGTCCTATACTGTCATTTGCTGATTGGGGATCAGAACTGGGGTGTGATGTGTCAACTAATGAAGAATTAAAACTCCACGAGTTGATCTTGTGTAGAACAAACTGATCAGCATAGATCAGCGGCAGCAGAGAACCTGATAATCACCCAATCTGGAAGGTATTGATCTAGTTCAACTATTTCATGTAGATAATTCAGTAATTACTTGGATACCGTTGACATAGCTAGTGATAGCACGCTAAGATTTATTCAATGAAAAACGTGAAATGTGTCGGGAAATCAGCAAGAGTTTTCCCGTTGCACTTCCGCAGAGAAGGAAGGGTTCTCTGCGAATTGTTCGTGGTATGTGGTAATAACCATATAGTCATACTGATTCATGTAACTATATTGGTTAATCAAGTGGTTTGAGTTAGTTAGAAGAAAGTTGTTAGAAAGGGTAATTGAGTCATTCTGTATTGAAACGTTAGCTATTATAAATAGCTGTTGTAACTTCCATTTGTGGTATTGCATTTCATATGTTCTTCAGAATATACAAAGCTTTCTTCTTCTTCTTTTCATCATTCTTTCTGCTATTGTTCTATAATATTAGTATATCATAATATTCTAGGTTAATATGGTATCATCGTCGGAGAAGGCTCTCTGCCGTTTCCGATCCTAGGGTTTCTTCTGCTACTCTGGTTCAGTTTCTTGGTGGTTCATCCAAGGGTTTCTTTCGCTGGGTTCTTTGGTCGTTTGGGCTACTGAAGTTTACAATGGTGTTCGAAGGATTGATCGTGCGTCGTGTTTGAAGAATTGATTCATTTCAGGTGATATTGTTCATGTTTCTTCGTCTGGGTTTTTGTCTTGAATGTTGATTTTGTTTCTGGATAATAATGGAGTTTGAGAGTCTGTCATGATTCTTGTGAATTGGGGATTCTGTTATGTTTTCTCCTCAGTTGATGAATGAATTCTGATATCGTAGTTGTGCTTTTTAATGGAGTTTGAGATTCTGTCATGATTCTCGTACATTGGGGATTCTGTTATGATTTCTCTTGAATTGATGAATGAATTCTGATATAGTGTTTGTGAGATAGTTAATTGAAAGGTTGCTAGTGATATTGTGAATTGGTATATCAGTTTCAAGAAAGTTGTTCGTCTTTCTTTGTTTCAAAATCTGATTGCAAGAAAGTGTCAATCTTTCTTGTGTTGTCCAAGGTGTTATTCTCTGTGGTTAGTTGATTTGATCTGTGGAAGTGTTCCTTTTTCTCTCATGGCTGCGTCTTCGTTTAAAGTTGAAGGTGTTTTAGGAATGCTTACTATCAAGCTTAGGGATGATAATTTTGCCAAGTGGGCTTTTTAGTTTCAGTCGGTGTTAAGGATATAAGTTGTTTGGTCATTTTGATGGTACAACTCCTTGTCCATCAAAGTTTGTTGTTGATTCAAATAATGGGGTTACACGGGAGATCACAGGAGCATATACTGAATGGGAAACAACTGATATGGCTTTGTTGAGTCTCTTGCTTGCTACTCTTATTGATGAGGCTATGGAGTATGTGATTGGGTGTCGACCGGCGTATGAAGCTTGGAATAATCTGGTTGATCGATATGCCACTGTGTCTAAATCCAGAATTAATCATTTGAAAACTGAATTACATACAATTCAAAAAGGGTTCGATACGGTTGATAAATATCTGTTGAGGCTTAAACATATTAGAGAACAACTTAGTGCTGCAGGTGAATCCATCTCAGATAATGATGTTATGATTGCTGGTCTTGCTGGATTACCTAGGGAGTATGGTGTTATTCGTACTGTTATATTGGCCAGGGAATCTACACTCACTTTGAAGGACTTCAGAGCACTGTTACTTGGTACTGAAGGGGAAATTGAAGGTGAAATGAATACACTTACTCAGAATCTGTCAGCACTCTATGTTCAAGGGTCAAGTTCTGGTTCCAACATTGGTTCTGGTTCTTCTGCTTCATCTTCCAATTCTAACAGTCATGCCCATATTCCAGCTCTCACTGCTGG